ACTTCTTTGCCGACATCACTGATATTACATTAGCCAACGGGTTCCATCCTTCACTAAATACAATAACTTCTATACCTTCTGAACTTCTCAACATTACTCTTTTCAGTCTACAATCAACATTGACATAGTAACGATATAACCAGTCCATTCCCAGTATCACCTCGAATTCATCAAAAGGTAATTCCATCATATTAGCAGGGAATTCAATTCCTTGAATTCGTATGGTACACCCTCGACACACCATATTGACTCGAGCACTTCGTCCTAACGGATTAGTCACTACTACCTCACTGCTAGTAGATTCTAACGAAATATTCAATTGTTTTACTAACTTGCTATAAATATAAGAATATATAGACCCCGAATCAATCAATACAATCACATTCTTGTCATACAATTAGAAGATACCTACTATTATCTTTGGGTTATCTCTATCCTCACTAGTCCTGAGATTATACACACGAGCTGTAGAACGTATTTCTTGCGGAGCTAATGACTCTAATTGACTTCTTCCTCTACCTCTACCTCTTCCTCTCTGGGCAGTCAAGGCAGACCTCTCTGCTAAGAAGATTCACTAGGTAACATGGGACAATCCCGAACAAAATGTCCGGTGTCCCCACATTTAAAACAGGCTCCAAAAATTATCCTGCATATCCCCGAGTGATTCTTTCCACAATGTGGACATTGTCTGACTTGGCTCAGGTTAGATCTCCCAGCTCCAGATCCCACTGACTGTGTTTGTCGACCCCTCATCTGATTTGATCCCTTTATAGAAGATGTAATCAACTCTGATCTCGTTTGGGGTCGAGAACTCACATCTCTGCCCCTTTTTGACGGTGCAACACTCGATGATACGCCCGATCTTTTCGAAGTCTGAAATCGAAAATCCCTGAACCTCTTATTTTGAGCTCTTTCCAGAGCTTTAGTATGATTCACCACTTCTTTAAATGAGGTTAAATTCAACACAATTAACATTTCCTTTAGTCTTGGACATAAACCTTCCACGAACCAATCACAAACATCCTTTTCTGTAGGAATAAGCTCTGCAACAAACCGACTCAACTTGTTGAATTCACACTCGTATTCATAAACTATATGGTTCCATTGCTTAAGGTTCATGAACTCTTGCTTCATTTTTTGAATGAACTGATCTCCGATGTATTTATGCTTGAATTCTTCTAAAAACAAAGACCAAGTTACTTGATCACCGGGCATTCTCAAGGTAACGTTGGTCCACCAAATCCTTGCTTGCCCTCGGAGCAATGAGATTATTCCATCCAGCTTCTCTGGATCGGAACAATGAAGTCCCTCAAGCATGATTTTTACATCATTAAGCCAAAGGTTCGCAGCAACAGGACCTTCTTCGGCTTCACCTCTAAGCTCTGGTGCTCCTAAACCCTTCAACTCCTTTGCAACATTCATTCTCGGAGTTGAAGTAATAGAAGGTTGAAAATGCGCCAATATCGCATCCAATGTTCTGAAGAACACATCTTGATCACTTACAGGCACTCCAGAGGGTGCCTGATCTTCACTCTGCCTGGCCAGGCAGGTGAATTACTGCTTTCAGCGGGCCTATCGTCTCCCGCTTCACTTCTAAAGCTACCATGTCCGGACATCTATAAAACATACCAATATCATTCTATCAGCAAAACAACACACTTACTATTGTATCAGATCAGAAGTTTTCACTATTTGGTTGGCATGTATACTTTATAGGACACTCTAGACTTCGGTTTATGCCAAGAATCGACTAAACCGTAGCTCTGATACCATTAAATGTAACACCCCCAACCCGTATCCGACCCAAATACGAGTCTGAGGTGTCACATTGACTTTTCAAACTCTGACTCTTGACAAAATTCAAGGAAAATTTAAAACCTTCATTAATATAAAAGCGGTTTATTTACATAAAATAACCAAAACAACCAAAATCGATTAGAGCATTTATAACTGACACTTTACTTACATGCCAACATACTATACACGACAAAATACATACTTTATCAGTTACTTCTGATATGATCTTCTGGCAGTACTGCTGTTATTGCCACTCATATTTTGGTTCTGCTCGATTCTTGGTACCTACGTGTAAATCACTTACACGCTAAGTCATAGACTTAGTGAGGCATAACATAAATATATGTATACGCATGTATAACAATGAATTTATGAACATGCATCCTTACCATTGATCATGACATCTTAACTTGCATATATTTATTATACTATAACATATATGATGATAGTATGCACATATAAGACATATATTTTTATGCTGATTTTGCTTTAATTTATCTTTGGATTGCCCATGTACATTATTGAGAACAAATGTATGTGAGTACATAGAGGTTGTGCACTATGATGTCACCACAGCTTGTATAATTCCCTCAAGGGGCACTGAATATTTGTCCCGAAAGACCACTATGTCCCGAAAGAACACTGATTGTTCCGAAGAACCACTATGTCCCGAAGGACCACTCCTTAAGAACCATATACATAATACAATGGACCAAATAAGTGTACCAAAGTATCACATATATGTTCCACAAAATTACTTATATGTCCCGAAGGACTACGTAGAACCCTCGACTCTTGGCATGCCAATTATACCCACAGCTCTCATATTAACTCACATGGGCTTAAATATGAATACATTTCTCATTTTCATATCTTCTCATCACTTTTCATATAAACATGTATTTCACTTCATATACACACATGTGATCATTTTCATTATTTCACATACCTGGATTGATCCTCTGACAATTTCATTCTTTCATATAATATCATATTAAAGCATAAATGAACTATACATGAAATCACTGTATCCAATATATATATATATATATATATATATATATATATGTTGATGCATGTACATGAATATGAAATCAGGAATTCAACTATAAGAGATAGACTTATCGCAAGTCTTATCTCCATACAATTCTATCCAGTATGGGCACTCACCTTAGCCTTGCTTTGACTCAATTCTAATCTCTCGATTGTTTCAGAACGAGATTACGTTCTAAATCTACATAGTAATACATTGATACATATCAGTATATTAATTGATATATTCTAAACTATCACTCCTTAGGCTAAAAAGAAAGCTATTTTTATCTTTTAATGAAGGTATGCATTGATGCACTACACCATGTATCGATGCATCCCTTGACGGGTGCATCGATGCACTATCTATGCATCGGTGCATAAATCCCATTTGAAGTTTGTATTTTAAGTAGGTGCATCGATGCACTCCTCATGCATCGATGCACTAATTGCATTCGATGTTCAATTATTTGATAGTGCATCGATACGCATTGAATGTGCATCGATGCACACAACCCAAAATTTGTATTTTAAGCCCGAAAATCATCAATTCTTCAATAAATTCTTCTATTTAAACCCCTATCATGTCATTAAACCCAACCATCATTACTTAAACCAACTTATATCCATGAAAATCATCTTTAACCTCAAAATCCTATCCCTCATATGTGATTCAAGAATCATACTCAAATTTCAATAAGTTCTAAATACAATTCTAATACTTTATATTCCTTAATTAGCATGATGACAAGTCAAATTTATCTTCAAATTCAACTTATCAACTTTTTTCCATAAATTCATTTAAAACCCATTTTCTTTAATCTCTTATAACTTCTTCATCTTGTTACTTTAAAACAAATTAAGCTTTCCATAAGCTTAATTAGCATCTAAGGATCAAAACCATACTTAAATTTCCGCAAACCATCAGCTTTTAAAAAATCTCACCTTTGTTTTGCCTTTTTAACGTGTGGAGAAAGACGAGAAGAAGAGAACTCTGGAACCTTGTTTTTGTTTCTTCTCTTCCACGTGGAGTTAATATATAAATACTATTCTTTAATTCTTTTCCATGCAAATGACTATTCTATCCTTCAATTCCATCTTCCTTGCAATTTAACCCTATACCAAATTACAATACTATTCCATTATTATGCTTTAGTCACCAAATTCTGAAGTTTTACAATTTAGTTACTAACCCGGTATTGAGGTTGTTACATTTTATTTTTAAGAATTTAATCCATTAATATTTTTGATTTACAAATTCGAAGTCCAAGCCCGTCCCAATAGATTTGAAGGCCTTGTGCTACATTTTAAAATAAGGTTCCTAAAATATTTTATAATGAGATAAAATTGTAAAATATAAAAAATTACTATATTACGATTGTTTCTTATAAAATAAAATAAAAATCCAAACATATGAAACTAAGAAAATGTCACAAAACAACTCTATAATCGCGACATTTTATTTAAAAAATATCATCATTCAAAAGCTCTTAGAAATAAAATCCAGATATTTTTTAAAGTGTTGGGCCTCCAAATTTTGGAGCTCTATAACATATTACACTTTACGCTTGTTGATGGATCGGCATCAACAGAATCGTGAGTTCCAGATTTCCAGCATTATCAAAGTGAGCCGTTGCATCAGCACCTTCATTACCATCTCGACGAACGTAAGTTAGTTTGATCCTCCACTAGTTTTGGAAAAAGTTTGCGAATACTTTGAATAAGAGAGATCTCATGCATGATAGGGATCCCATTGAGGGTGTCAACTACTACTTTATTGTCAAGCTCCACCTCTACGTCTTCTATTATTTCAAAATATCATATCAATAATTTAATAATAAACCCTAACGATGATATTAATTAGACATATACTTTTAAATATGAAAAATATAGACTAAATTTCTTGAAATAAAAATAACAGGACTAAGTTTCAAATATACAAAGAGTACACGTACTTGAAGTATATTTTAACCGCATTTAAGCTTTTTTTTATTTTGATTAATCTATTAAGTAGGAGATATATTTATTCAAATATTAATTTTAAACTTTTGAGATTGAATTCACAGTATAATATTTCTAATACTCGAAGAATAACACATTGTCCGGATCGTGCAACCGCATTTAAGTATAAAAATATCAGGTGCTCCGCAACAGTTTCTTTGAACCTTCTTTCTTCCGCTCCTAATGTCTAAAAGCCTTCTGTCTCGCATCAAACCTCTCCACACCCCGAAGGTCAGTTCTTCACCATTTCGCGTCCCTTCCCATCTCAAAAGTCTCATCAATGAAACCATTCAAATCCTCAAAACGCACCCGCAATGGCCAGATTCCCTTGAAAACCGTTTCTACGGTGAAGAAACTCGCGTTTCGGAGATTGCCAACTACGTGTTTGATCAAATACACGACGCGGAGTTAGGTATAAAGTTCTTTCATTGGGTTTCTAAACAAGAACCCCATCATTTTCCCCTCAATGGGTTGGCTTATTCTTCGTTTTTAAAGCTCCTTGCTAGGTTTAAAATGTTCTCCGAGATCGACACTGCGCTGGAGAACGTGAAATTGGAAGAAATAAAGCCTACGCATGAGGCTCTAAGCTTTCTTATTCGCGTTTATGCGGATTATGGCTTTGTTGATAAAGCTCTTGAACTGTTTTATTCCGTGGTTAAAATTTATGACTCTGTTCCTAATCTGATTGCTTGTAATTCGTTCCTTAATTTACTTGTGAGGTTAAATAAAGTTGAGATCGCCCGGAAAGTGTTCGATGAAATGGTTATAAGAGATGGCTGTGTCGATAATTATAGTGTCTGTATAATGGTGAAGGGTTTATGTAACATAGGGAAGGTTGATGAAGGTAAAAAATTGATTGAAGATATGTGGGGAAAAAGGTGTGTTCCGGATGTTGTTTTTTATAATACGTTAATTGATGGATATTCTACTAAAGGTGATGTTGAAAGAGCTAATGAACTTTTTAAGAAGATGAAAATGAAGGGATTTTTGCCTACATTGAAGACTTATGGTACTATGATAAATGGCTTTTGTAAGAAAGGGGATTTTAGTGCAATTGACTGGCTTTTGAAAGAAATGAAAGAAATGGGTATCTCTGTTAATACTCAAGTTCATAATACTATTCTTGATGCACAATTTAAGCAGGGTTTTAAAGTTAATGTGACGGACACCATAGAGCAGATGATTGAGAGTGGATATGAACCTGATATTGTTACGTATAACACTTTGATTAGTGGTTTATGTAGGGATATGAAGGTTCAGAAAGCTGGTCAGCTTCTGGAACAGGCAAAGAAGAGGGGATTGGTACCGAATAAAATTAGTTATACCCCTTTGATACAAGGCTATTGTAGAATAGGAGAATATCTGGTGGCACTGGATTTGCTTAATGAAATGTCAGAGAGGGGCCATAAACCTGATGTAGTTGCTTTTGGAGCTCTTGTCCATGGACTTGTTGCAATGGGAGAGGTGGATGCTGCATTAACACTTCGTCACAAGATGTTTGAAAGGGGAGTTTTGCCTGATGCTGGGATATATAATATTTTGATGAATGGACTTTGCAAGAAAGGAAAACTTTCTGCTGCTAAAGTCCTCCTTCGAGAGATGCTTGACCAAAATGTACCTCCTGATGCATTTGTTTATGCAACTCTGGTTGATGGGTTCATCAGGGATGGCAATCTCCATGAGGCAAAGAAACTCTTTGATGTCATGATTGGAAAAGGCATGAATCCCGGTGTTGTGGGATATAATGCCATGATTAAGGGTTTCTGCAAATTTGGAAGTATGAATGAAGCACTATCATGTGTTACTAGAATGATAGAAGCACATCTTACCCCAGATGAGTTCACTTACTCTACAATTATAGATGGCTACATAAAGCAGCATGACATTGGTGGTGCACTGAGGATGTTTGGACAAATGGTGAAAAGAAAACGCAAGCCTAATGTGGTGACATATACCTCTCTGATTAATGGTTTTTGTCGAACTGGAGATTTCAATATGGCTGAAAAAGCTTTTAAAGAGATGAAATCGTGTGGTTTAGAACCTAATGTAGTCACATACACTATACTTATTGGGAGTTTTTCCAAGGAAGGTAAACTTGCAAAAGCAGTCTTCTACTTTGAATTGATGCTGTCTAACAAGTGCATTCCAAATGATGTTACTTACAATTATGTTGTAAATGGCATCACAAACAGTCCAGGTGAAATTCTGGATAACCAGTCTTTGGAGAAGAAATCTCTTTTTCTTGAATCTTATAATATGATGATATCCGATGGTTTGGCTCCACGAGCTACTGTTTATAACTCCATCCTCCTTTGCCTTTGCCAAAATGGAATGACTAGAATTGCTTTGCAGTTAAAAGATAGGATGATGAACAATGGCCTTTTTCCTGACCCTGTTTCTTATGCTGCCTTTCTGCATGGCTTTTGTTTGGAGGGAAAATCGAAGGAGTGGAGGAACATAATCTCGCATGATTTGAATGAACAGGAACTTAAAATTTCTTTGAAGTACATAGAACTTTTGAGCCTGTGGCTACCTTGTGGAATAACTTGTGAGGCGTCAGTTATTTTGCATACCTTGATTGAACGGTGCAGCCATGAAAACGAAAAGGAAGATCTTGAAATATCTGCAAAATAGTGGAAAAGTCCAAAGGAAAACACATTATCTGGTTTTACTAGAAAGACACTTGGAAATGAAAATAATAGGTTCTTAATTTAACTGGTGAGTATTGAATGAGTAAAGTGGGTGGTTAACTGCTGCTTTCACCAAATCACTCGATATGGTGAACATTTGCTTCACAGAATTAACAATTCATTTTAGCTCAAAAGCAACAAATATTGGAGAGGTGTAATTGTAGTCTGGTAATTTCACAGAAGGCGGAGTTTGGTGTTTAGGGGGTGATAGTGGAAAAGTTGACAGATAAGTCACCCTTACTGTCACTCTATAGGACTGTACATGAGATTTTCACCTCGTATGGCTCCTTGTTCAATTCTTTTGAAGTCATTAATTAGGTAATTTATAGGATTCTTGTGTTTCTACTTTTGTTGTAAGTCTGGGTTAGATACAGGCAACACTGGACTAATCTCATTAATGGTGCTTGTGCAGCCAGATCAACTATAATTACATTCTACCAAGGCCACTTTTCTCAGTTACAGATTCTGTGGCAGAAATGACATGGAGGTACGGGTATATCATTTGACTCTTCATATGAGTGTAAAATTGAATGATAGCCGGTCTCTTACATTGCTGAGGGAGTTAAGCAGCCAGCTAATCGATTCATCAGCCGTTAAGTACATAATAGAATTCTGATTATACAAGTAGTAGCGAAGTAAAATGTGAAACTAATTTATTGGGTATACATTCTAAATTAATATGGTTACCCTTAGATGCCATGTGGGGCTTTGGTTATGAGAACCTGATTTAGTTTGAAGTTCTTGGTTAAATTTGTTGAAGGATTTGATTATTATATTGTAGGAGCAATTATTTTTTATCTGATATAGGATAAGAATTTTCTTACCCTATTATACTACTATAAGATGCAAGGGTTTTGTTGGATGCATTACAAATTTTGTAGAGGATTCAGGATTGTGGATTCGCAATATATAGCTACATCTTCTCTCTGCTTTTGGATAAATATATTTTGGCTGTATATCAATCAATATGTGATTGTTAAAATAATTCATGAAAATGGATTTATGTATATATAACTCTGCATTTGGCAGTGTGACAATATTCAACAAATTGTAGGTCATTTTTTAATTTGGAATTGCAATTCAAGAAGACGTAGCCTATTTTTCAAGTGTAAATATGTTTTAAATAGCCATCAAACTAGGATTTTGGTTGGATTTATTATGAGACACATGAAGAGAAAGTTCTTTTGCTCCTAACAAATGGTTTTATAGAGAGTTCTTTTGCTCCTAACAAGTGGTCATTTTTCATTTGGGTAGGTTGTCTAACCTGTCCCTCTTTGTTAACCAATTGCTTTTGTTTTCAGTTATCAAGTTTCTGAAGATTTAAGGACTCATCGTTTTTAGAAACTGAATATCTTTTAAAAAGTATCATTTACCAGTGGAAAAAACATAAAATAGTACTTGCATTATTTGTAGGTTAAAATTTGTTTAAAGCACAAAATAAAATAGTGTCTCATTCTCAACCAATATCATTGTAGGTTAAAATTTGTTGAATATCTGGTTCTTTCTCAGACCAGCGTCCTAGAAAATAGCCCAGATTGCATCTTAGAGCACAATATAGGATTTGCATTACTTGTAAACAACATCAAATATCGTTTTGTGCAAGTGTAACTGAGAACTATTTCATGTCATCTCTATCTTTTTAGAGAACAACTTCATCTAGATATTGCTAAAGTTACTGATATATTTTTCTATCAAAGAAAGAATTAGCCAACTTAAATGTTCACATCTTTATCACACATGTAATGTGTTCCCTGCATGTAATTTTTTCTTGTGCAGGCAGAAGCTGGTACCTTGATCCGATATTAGCATCTTTATCACACTTGTAATGTGTTCCCATGCTAGCTACTTTCTCAAATCCTGCAACGTCATGAATCATCATGGTTAAACTCAGAGACTAAAGTTCGATGTAGGAGGTTTGTGTGTTATGTTTTCAATTAAGGAAATAAGAGGGGATTTACTGTATATATTCTATATTGATTTTTCTTCCATGTTCGTGTGCAATCGCTGCAAAAGCATCCCTGGACAGCAGAATTGTAGAGGGCATGGTGAGATGGGGCAGAAATCCACCACTTTGACATCAACGGTTCTATGCTTACATGGTCTCTTGGGTCCGCTGAGGCATCTTAATCTGTAGCGTCTCCCACAAGATTGTCCCATAATCCCTTGCTAACAGCAACAAACAGATTCCCAGGTGGAAACTGCTCTTCCCTATTACCGTCACATTTCATAGCTGCAGGACACAGTGCATGAGAAAAAGGTGGAATGATGATGAATAGCGCTTCCAACATACAGAGTTGTTTGAGTGAAGTTGGAGAAGAGAAGAGAAGAAAAGAAAGAAAGAACCTATACTCACGAAGATATGGAGGGTTATAAAATGTAGTGCCAATATCGCCATGGACGAAGCAAGCTTCTTTGCATATGACCGCTGCAACAATCAGCATTGCCAAGAGCAAAAGTGCCATTGTCTGAAGCAGAGGATAACATATGATGCTTTTGCTCTACTCAAAGGTATCTTATCCTCTTCCTATATATTTTGTATGGTTGTAGGAAAAATGGGTCAAGAATGATATTCTGATTTGATGTTATTGACCATACGATATACAAAGCTTTGGCTAAGCATTCACATGTGCAAGTAATGTCAACCTTTAGAGTTGGCTTCCCTCTGGGCCGTTATTATCGTCATCAATTCAATCAAGGACGTTTGACCACCGTTTTACTGTTTTGTCTCATTTACGTAAGTATTGCTTTTGGTAATCCATTGAATCTTTTGCACATGAGATATAATTTTCTTTATATATTGACAATACACAATCATCTTGTAAATGCAGCTGATCGAGCTCAGAGTTCTAGAGAAAATAACATTCATTTTACTATTAAGACCTTATCAAAAGTTACCTTTTACTATTAAGACCTTATCAAAAGTTTTTAAAATCTCAAAACTTCAAAAAGGATTTAAATATTTATTTGTTTTTCTAACTTGGTACCTAATATTTTTTATCAATAGTGTATCTCTAACTTTTACAAAAGTTATCCATTTTACCTTAGAAAGTAATGACCGTTGTTTTAGAAGTGAAATGCCGATTAAATTGCACCAAACTGAAATTTTCAACACAAAAGCTTCAAAAGTTATAAAATGAATATTAAAATTTGAATTTTGTTATAAAATGTATACCACAAGATGATATGCTAAATTAATGTTAAAAATCTTATTTTGCCTTTCAATTATAGTTAAAATTTTATTTTTTAAAATAATAATTCAAATATATAAAAAATTACAATTTACTGTTAAAATTAAAATTTTATGAATTATTTTAGGTGAAACGTATATTGTGCATCATAAAAGAGTATGCACAGTTGGAGTAGGAATTCATTAATTATATGTTTGTTTAATTAACCAGAAAGCTTGAACTGGAATGATGAATAAGGATTATTTAGTATCAGTACTTGAATATAAGTATTGACACCTCCAAAGAAGTATTAGTATATCTATTATTTTTCTAAATTTTCTATTTCATTGAACCCTCAAGAATTATCAATATATGAGAAGGATATTGATACTTAAGGTATCGACACCTCAAGAAATATTAGTACATGTATTATTTTTCTGAATTTTCTATTTCATTGAACCTTGAAGAATTATCAATACATGGAAAGGGTATCTATACTCAATCTTGAGTATCAATACCTCAAGCATGAATATCGATATCTATACATGTAATTTGTCGAATCTTCTGTTTATTCCCCCAAGTTGGTAAAATGTTATTTTAGACCCTCAGAAGATAGTTATTTGCATGTAAGGCCATGTTATGGTTAAAGTGGTTATTGAATTACTTGCATGATGTTGAATGAAGTTCCTACGATAGTACTGGGATGTTCGTAATGTTGGACATATGTTTATGCGGATCTCTTTTATTTAATCTAGTTTTTACCTCAAATATAACATCTTTTCTCTCTTAAGATTTTCGGTTTAGGGATAGTGTTATAATTTATCATTTCACTTGTAACCATTTGTCGAAGAAAATTCTATAATTATTTGTTATATGAAGACGCTTTCTTCATTTACTATGTAAGTATGATAAAATCTAATACATTATAAATAAATTCATTCAATGTTACTAAACAAATCTATGTAATTTAATTTAAAAGTGAACAAGCTTAAAATACACTTTTTTTATTAATTAAAATGCACTCAAACTTAAACAAACAAGCTTTTTCTTTTAACTAATACAAACACACTCGAAATTAAATAAACAAACAAACACGAACAAAATTAAACATTCCATCGATAAACAAAGCGAGCAAATATCTTCAAGAAAGGATGACATAAAAAGTGGAGGCTTCTCCCGCGTTTCTCTCCATGGATTCTGAAGTATTGTTTCTGGGTTTGATATTGTTCACTTAAACCCAAATGTGCCATTAGAAGGCAAACATGCGTTAGCAACTCCCCACCTCTCAATTTTTGACCATGCTCTTTCCATCCACAATGAACTGCTTGTCACACCCCAGTTTAATTTTAAAAGTTTATTAAATTTAATTATTTGATTTTAAGGACTAAAGTGTAAGTTTATAAAACTTGGGGTTAGTTTCAAAAAACTCTGAGGAAGTTTAGGGACTAGTCCCGTAAATAATCCATTTTCCTGTTCAAAGAAAAATAAACCCCCGTGCTCGTGATGCAAGCCCCAAAACCCAATTCCTCCAACCCAAACCACCCCCATTGCATACCGTTCAACCTCATCCGATCTGCGGTTAAGTGCACCACTGAAGCCACCGAGCTCAGAACGACTGACGGTCCAACCCGACTTTTAGAATGCACGTTTCAGCCACCATTCATCGCGTAGAGAGAGAGAGAGATCGTTCGAATGCCCTCCTTGTCGTCCCTGCTCTGGCCGGAGGTGCAGGTCACCGTCACCCCCATCTGAAGCGCCGACATCGTCCAACCAAAACCCCCAAGGCCATACAGTGCGAGTTGTTTCCGTTCACCGTGGGGAGCTCGCCAAATCCATTGAATCCCTATCCCGCCACTAAGTTTTCACAAAATTCGGTCACCTCGCTCATCTTTGTGCCTCACCACCACTACAGTTGTGTTCCCCGTGCCATTCCGGTCACTTCTGATTGTTTTATCCGATTATTTTTCGCTGGGTTTTGGCTATTGATGCATTAAAATTGTGATGTTTTGGTGTTTGATTACTCGTAGGAAGAATCAGTCAGTCAAAACGGCCCTCGTTACCACCGCATGTACCGCCATGTGCCGTTAGTGCTCTTGGGATTCGTCTTCCGATCCAGGAAGCTTCTAGAACCGGTCTAGTCAAACCGGTTTGAACTGAGTCAACTCGACTGAGTCAACTCATCCGAGTTAACTCGTTCGATTCAACCCTTTGACTTTGACCGAAAAGTCAAAATTTTTGAAATAGTCATATTTTATGTTTTTCGACGTCCTGAGTCTGATTCTGAAGTTTGTTTTGCCAAATTCGCACTCGGTAAGTCATTT